GGTAACAATTTAATTAATTATTTTTTTTTATAGTTTTACATTTTATTTATTTTAATTTGAAATCAGTATATATGAATTTTATATTTTTATTTTATTTTAATATTATAAAAATTAAATGATTGAATTAATGAATGAATTCTGAACATTGAACTGATAGCAGCTCCATTAATATTTTTTTATTTTGTTGTAGTTACATTTATTTATATATATTTTATAGTATTAATAGTTTTTATAAATATTTATTTTGTATGCATTTTAATATTATAAAAATTAAATGATTGATTTAATTAATAAGTACTAAACAGTGAACAAATAGCACTCAATTGATTTATTTTTGTAGTTATTATTTTTTATTTTATAATATTTTTTTGTTTATTTTTGTTTTATTTTTTAGTTTATTTAAATATTATAGCATATATTATTTTTTTTATATTTTTTTAAAATAAAATTATTAAATATTAATCAATTTATATATTTAAATTCATTATTTATTAATGATAATTATAAGTTACTTAATTTAAAATCATTTGTTGTAATATCATTTTTACATATGATTTTCTTATTCATTGTTATTTAATTTGTTATTTTATTTTATATAAATAATAAATGCATTTTATGGTAATTTGATGTATTACTATATATATTATATTGTATTTCTTATTTATGTGCGACTTTGTGAATTTCAAAATTTTATTAATGATAATTACAGCTTTCTTGATTCATTTTGTTTATGATTATTTCTTTTGTTTTATATCATTTTTACTACTGATTTTCTTTTTCATTGTAATTTAATTAAATTTTTAATTTATTTAGTACAAATAATAAATGTATTTTAATTTTAAAAGTGATATATTACTTCACTGCATATTGTTTTTATTATTTATATGTGATTTTTATTTAATCAAAATCTTTTATTGTTATTATATTATTAAAGATATAATCATTTGTTTAGTTTTTTATATCAGCTGTTACAATTGAATTATTTGTATAATTTTTTATTAATTTTATTTCAGTATATTTATAACATTTATTTTTTTTTAATTTTATTGTTAATATGGGAATCCCTAACGATACAGTCTTAGCATAGGTACACTTTGATTTGAAACCCACAGCGGTACTATGGGAATACTACTTCTTATTCTTATATATTTCCAATAAACTATCTGAGTTCAGTTATGAATTTTTTTTAACTTTTGTTAGATCAACCATACCTAGTTCTTCTAATTCCTTAAAAAAGATATTTGTCACGAAATAAACTCTTTACCCATAGAAAGCTGTGTAGTTTCATACTAAATTTTAGTTTACATCCTCCATAATCTCATCATCATAACGTCTACATAGTTCTCTGCAGGGGTGGTGAATTTAGACGCCGTTATATTATTGTTTTATTACGACATGTTCTGTATAATATTTGATCGTATAAGCTTAGCCTATGCACAGAGAGTTTGTACAAAAGTTTATTTCGAGAGTTATATCTCAGTTCAGCTATCGATTTATTTGTTTCATTGTTTATGGTTCTACGCCAAGAATTGCGTGGTCGTCCTTGAGTTCTACTTTCTTGTGGATTCTAGGTTAGTACCGCATGTGCTACGTCATTTGTGCTTTTGCGTAACGTGTGTCCAATCCAGCTATATTTTCGTTGTTGAATTTCTTTCTCAAGGAACTCCTGCAAAGTTGCACGAGACGCCGTTATACCCATCTATAATGACCTAAATGTCATATATGAATACGAGTAGCATAACACAACCTCGTGTTAAAGTTTGAAGAGTATTATTGTTTACTGATATATTTTTAGTCATAATTGCCTTGATGAGTGGCACGTTTGTTTTACCAACCAACTAGTAATATTATTCGCCTTTGCAGTATTGAACTTTTTTTCATTACATATAAGTTTTTATTAAAATCAATATGCCCATTTAAAATTTCATTTTTTTCGATAGATAAAATTAAAAATTTTGAAAGTTACTTACGATACATAAAAATTTTCAGCTAAACAGTTTTTTTTAGTTTGAATATTATATTTATATGAATTGCAATTTTGTGTACATTAGTGCACAAATTAATATAAAAATAAGTTTTTTAAGTGTAAACCAAAGTACTTAAAAGTGTATATCATATTTTTAATTATACGAAATATTATAGAATTTATATTCATATTATTCAAATTTATAAGTGGACACTTTTATTGTAATAAGTATCTTTATTATGCAAAAATATTTCTATATACTTATTATATGTTTAAATATGTGAGAGCGTAGATATCTGCATAAAATATTTGATTTAATTTTGTTGCATCTCAGCTATAATATATGTAGTAATGCCAAAGCATTGAGTTCATATTAAACTTTTAGAACGTCAAAAACATTAATCAATTCCATGAGTCAAAGTTGCTTGCACAAATTTTAATTGAAATCGTGCGCTCAAATGCAACTTACAGTTTAGATAGCAACAAACAAACTTCATTGCTTTCCGACAGATACGAAATGCTTCAATGTAACTATAAATACAATTTAACATTTCGGAAACTGACTAAAGGATTTGTCATTAACAATTTCACACAGGAAGGCTAAGTTAACTTCCTAACATTTTTCTCGACTGTCAAGTGCTGACAATTTCATTTGCAGGATTTACACAAATTCAAGCTTTTAAATTATTTTATATATCTTATATTGAATTATAAACTTGAAGTTAATTGTAATTGAAATTCAATTAAGTTTATCAAATAGTTTATATAATAATTTGTATAAATAAATATTTAATATTGCTCAGTAAATTAATCATAGCAACCAGAAGCTTAACTTAAGTTATTTTATTGAAATTGTTAATGACTTGAAATCAAATTTTCATTCTAATTTAGTTGGAACTTTAAATTTATTAGCCTGACTTCAGTACTTAGTCCTTTACTTCAAAAGCATTCTCCCCCTTTACCTTCTCCAGCATTATTTTACAAGTGTTGTACAAAAAACTAAATTTCATTCCATTGGTTATTGAACAGGAATAACTACTAATTTAATATTTATTTATTTATATTTATTTATAAATATTCATTTAATATAAATATATAAATATAAGTTTAATATTTATTTATTAATATTAATTTAGTATTTATTTATAAATATTAATTTAATGTTTGTTTATAAATATTAATTTAATATTTATAAAGTACGCTTTCACAAAAATATATTACCGGAGGGGAAAGATATGACATAAATGTATACATATATTAAAAAAAATGATATTAAATATTTCAGTTAACGGAAATTCTATTAATTATTACATGTCTTAAGTTTCTCTCATTAAGAGTTGTTATAGTATCTTGTATCTTGACTAATGCAAGATAAGCAGATATCATTTCGCTTCCCATAATTAGCGTTTATTCACTATTTTGCTGTCACACCCCACGCAAAAAACCTAAAGAGATAAGAATTGGATGCAAACCGTTGAATTTTAATAATTTAAAAGATCTTAGGGCCTTACTATTGAACACTCCGATAAAGTGACAAGTTTAATCAAAATCTATTTGATATATTCTTTATTAGTCAATGTCACGGTTGAAACAGTCCTCCTGTGGTACTGAACTTCGGAAAAAAGTAATATTAACTATGATAAGTCTGCTATTCGTTTCTTACGGTATTTCTCAACAACAAGGTCTTTGGAATTGGCTGTGGCATTTAGTTCCTAACTTCAGTTAATAAAAAACCACAATTTCTGCTACTATAACAGTAGTGATTTTGCTAAAAGACTCTTAGAAAGGGCTGGAAAGGTTATATTGAAGCTTAAGAAAAGTTTGAGAAACACTGACTTAGAATCTCAACTGCTATGACGCCAATCTAAAACTATATTTAAATCAATTTAATTATATTATTATTTATTGCGGTTTCGTTAATCAGTTGGTTTAAGATTAGCAGGTGATTGGGCTACCGCATGATATACGCGGCCCTATGCTCCTCCTAGGAGTTAAAGGATTTAATATATATATAATTTATTGATATCTGCTTTCTTTTTTTTTGGCTTCTTAAGTTGTCTTTATATTCTTTACCACATTAACTTTGGCTTCTTTATATGTAATCTGTTCAAATTAAACTTTGCAAGAGGACACTTTGTGAATCCAAGCAGATTAAATATCAATATGTCGAAATGTATTAATCTTATTATATATAGCTTACATAAAAATATTTACATAAAGAGGTTTTCGAACAGAAGTGAAACAACAACAAAAATTTATTTTTTAAATTATTTTAATTAATTGAATTTTTGGCTGACCATACAGCTGTTTCGAGTATTGCCAAATACCTTTCATCAGTGGTCTTGGAAATAATTCTTGTATTTAATTATTCGTAAATAATTATTTTTGAGACTGCAAGTACCAGGAATCGAACTCGGGTCCTGCCAAATGTGAAGCTCAGAATCAGCGCACCTTAACCAACTGATCCAAAGCCGTACTTGACTTTTTTGTTCGCATATTTTTGCTGGAGTTTTGTTATTAACAATTTTAAAAATATTTATAAATTTTATTGCATTGGATTTAAGCTCAATAAAGTAAAAAAATTTCAAAATATAGCTGAAAAAATATAATAAATATAATAAGATAAATATGATACCATTATTTTATTTATAAAGAATATCAAAGCTTTAATAAAGTTTAAACTAATTTTTTTCTTGTTTTAAGTTTTTTTAAATTTATTTAAACAATATTTACTATGTATGTAAGCTAGAAAAAGTTTCTTTCTATAAATAAATACATAATTCTGAAAATAATATTTCATTGGAGATTATATGTGTATAAATCTGCATATTTTGTGAAGTAGTTTTTATAAAGTGTTTCAAAAAAATTTATTTACTATATAAATAAGTGCAAAGGTTCATTCATAAAACTCTATTATATATATAATTTAATATATTTCCAGAAAAAATTTACTAATATATATGCAGCTATTTTTTTAACATTCGAACAAATTATTAATATAAATACTTTAAATTTTTTAATTTTTTTCTTGCAGATTTGTATAAAATATTCAACACCAACGCAATTCGGGCATACATAATAAATTAAATTGCTAAAAATATTGAATTTTTTTTTAGTAGAAAAACGTAATCAAATCCATTAGTCACAAATACCAAGAAATAAGTCAAAAAAATTTACTCAAACCGAAAAGTAAATCGAAAAACTGAGACACTAAATTACAAAATTGTAATTTTAATAGTGAAAAGAAAAAAGTAAAAAAGTAAAGGAATTACAAAAACAATAACACAACTTTTAGATAATTTATGAGTGAAAAATAGTGACGTAATATTGCGAAATAAATAACTAAAATAGAAATCGATAACAAACAAAGCGAAACCAAAGAGCAAAATAAATCGCATGAAGTGTCAACAAAAGTAAAAAGCAAAAATAAACTTAAAAATATCTCAACTTCAACAAAAAAAACAACAAAAAATAAGATATAAAATACGAGTATAAACTAGAAGCGAACAACACAGAGAAGCCGGCAAGTGTAAACTGCCAGAATATCGCATAGTTTGACAGATACGCACTGCAAAATAGACAAAACCTACAAAGTGAACAGCCAGCGCTGAAAGTACGAAGTCTACTACAAACACAACAACAACATAGAGCAGTCAAAATGGGGAAATTCAGATTACGAAGCTACGCTGCAGTAATTGCGGTTCTCTACATGTGCAGTGCAATTATAGGTGAGTGCTTGCATGCAAACTGTGACAGCTTTTGCGATAATTAGAAACACAATTCCCATCAAGGGGATTTCGGAAAGTAAATGAAAATAGCTCAGAGCAAAACGAAGACTGAGACTTTTGTAAAAAAAGTCAATCATATTTTCAATATGAGAGAGTAATTACTGCAACATAACTTCTTATCTTCATTTATTAATATAAATATATATTATATTTTTATCTTATATATACATAATATAATATTAAATATATATATACATATATTTAACCCTATACTTAACCTCGAAGTATTGCGAAAGCGGTTCCGAGGGGAAATAAGCCCCGTCGAAGAGTGGGTGTTTTAGTCCGTATACTACATATTAATATTAGGGAGTCGGGAACACCATTCCGAAGACTGTCGGTTTGATGGTGCATGAAGCATTCAACCTCCTCACCACCAAAACAAGCCCGTTTCAAAACAATATACGTATGTACACTTACTATTATGTAGGTGTAGATATATTAGACCTTTTTTGTAAAATGAGTTAGATCGTGTTTATGATATATGTTATGTATCAATAGAGCCTTACCGTGTAATGATTTAGATCATGTATATAATTGCAATTTCTTATGAAGATTCAACTATTGGATCACAATCAAATCACATAGAACTTTACTGCACAATAGACAGCAAATTTAAATATAACCTTTTTAATGAATTAGATCGGGTATATTATATATGTATCAATAGAGCCTCACCATATTATGACTTAGAACGTGATATGATTGTTGTACATCAAATTCTTTCGGTGATTCAACGGTTGAATCTAGATAAAATTAAGTAGAACTTTATTGTAAAATGGATTGGATTATTTTTCTAACTGCTACAAAATAAATTCCAATAGAACCTTACTTCTAAATTAGTAAGATCGTTCATATGATATATGTATCAATAGAACCTTACGGTATAATGATTTAGATCGTGTGTATTTTTACTATACATCTATTTCCTACGAGAACGTTGCTTTAAAATAAATTCGAAAAGAGCCTTACTGTTAGATCTGTTAGACAATTTATACGTCATATTCACAAAATTTCGCTATACACTCAGTTCTATCGTGTATAAGTTCGCGTTCTAACCAATTCTTGAACTGATCCAATGGTTGGATCAAAAAAAAACTGTAAGATTATTTAAATTAAAACTAAGATCTTATTTGAACTTGTGTTTCAAATAAAGCTGCAGTTTACAAGCTCGTTCTAGTTAAAAAAAAGAAAAAGTATGGCAAGTAAAACTTAAACTTTTAGTTTCTTAAACTAAAAATCGCTTGTACGATAGCTACACATATGATTTTTTTTGATTCAATTGCTTTCATTTAAATTGCAATGATATTTAACAGTCAATAAAAATTGATAATATAAGTTAAATATTTTATCACCAAAAAAGTGTAGTTTAGTCTTGCTGTAGTTTACACGATGCAGGCATGCTCCAAAGGATTACAACTTATAATGGATTGAAATATATTCTATGTGTATCTCATATAAGCTGTCTTGGTACTAGGGAACTATTTCTTAAAAAAAATCAATTTGCTTAGTAATAGGAAAAATTTTCACACATTAAATGCATTATTTATTTTCTATATTTTCAAGCAACATTTTTATAAAGCTTTCACTGTACTATATTAACTTCGAGTTATTTTCGAAAACACTCGGTCGCTCAATAAAAGTTTGAGTATCTTCCAACAAATAAGTTTATTTATCTTTTGCGTGTAGGTAATTTTTTTATATTTTCAACGCTAAAGACTTCTAATTTTTTTTCATTCTGTTTATTTTTTGTTTACATTTTTCTGTAAAGTTCAACAAATAAACAAAAAAGTACATTGTTTTTGATATTTTATAGCAGGAAAACGTCTCTATAAGCAATCTTAGCTGATGCATTTATTACCTTTTAACCTAATTTGCATGTTTATAACTTGTGTTTATAAAAATGTTCTCGTTGTGTGTAATTATTTTCTTTTAAATAAATTATTTACTTAAAGTGTTGAAGGCAACTACATATTTTTTAATGTTTTTGCTCATTATATTTTTTTATGAGATTATTTTATCAAATAAAGCACTTTTCCATTGTTAGATACTTAGATATATTACTGACATTTAAATGCTATTAGTTAGTTTTTGCTTAGTATTTCTTATTAGAGTGTGTGACATTTGTAAGACATTAAATCATTTGAATTATTTTTTACAATTGTATATCACCACTAGGGTATATATACAAATATAAGTATAATAAAAGAGAAGAGTGCATTATTCTAAACATTTTTACATGTATTAGTTAAAGCTTAATACTTGTCTTACACAAGTAATTTTAAACTGAGAGAAAAGCTTATGTTATGTATTATGATCACTGATAATGAAAGGTAGTTATTAAAGTAACAATAACCTTTTCAGACCTCTCTCGCTTCAACTAAGGCTACATGAAGTTACAACCTCATTTTATAACAAATTACAGCACATAAGCAAAAATATAGATCACATATATGTATATATCTTTTTTTAATAACATTTTTATTGTATGTAAGATTTATGAATTCGTAATTTCCATTAACATTATATTCCTTTCTTATATTCTTATATTCTTTAAAGAACTAATATTCTTTTCTTTAACTTTATAACTTTTACTTTATATTATTTTCTTTCTATAATATACCAAACATTTTGTGAAGGATCTCCCTTTCAAATTTCAATATCCTCTTCTCATTAGCTTCTGTTAATCTTCACGTTTACTATACGAAGTAGTAACGGACTCATTGTTTATAGCAATATTGCGGTTTCAGGATACTTAACTTGTTATCTGTAGACACAGTGCAAGAACAAAGTTCTGACAGCAATTTCAATTTAATGTATTGTCATGGTATTGTTATCATGACATAATACTAGATATAGCTTCTTTAAGTTTGTGACGCTTTGAATGACGCAGTCACCAGTATTGTGATCTATGTCTGTAAATTATACCGATCAAAATCTAATGTTATTTGCATTGAAACGAAATATAGCCATATTTACATATTGTTGAACTTTATCATATGCTTAATCATACTTATTTTCGGTTTTCCTCAACGATAATCCGTTTTACTAATATATCAGTCATATTACTTATGTTGCACAAAAAGTATTTGCTTATATATAGTTTTTTACGAATCAGTAAATACATTTTTCCCATTACACCATATACAATTATAACATGTATTTAATTCCATTTTCTTTAACTAACACAAAATTAGGTACTCAGATTTATTTGACGCAGATATCGTCGTTTTATCATATAGCCCTTGCAAATGATAACTTGATGTATCTCACATGATAGCTCAAAAAATGTGCTATGTAAATAATGTTATCATATATCATACGATAACCTTTAAAAGTAAATATTTAATTATTTATTCTTTAAATTTACATAATAAAATGACTTAAATAAATTTATGTCATATTGTAAAAACAAATTTCAAAAGAACATTATCACGTCAGCTAGAATTAATCCTTATAACATTTCATAAACTCATACAGATACGAGTATCTTTCATTATATCTCATTATGATGGCAATAATCAAGTAAAAAATGTTAAAAATTACGGCAAATAAAAATGTATCTACCAGTTTGGCAAATACAAAATAAACATTTTTTTGATGTTTGTGTTTTGGAATTTGTTAATAAAGTAGATTAGAATAAATGATGATTAACCCATAAAGATACTCGTGATAACGAGATTATTTCACTTCGACTGAAATACGTGCTTTATTTTACAACTCGGAAACAATGACAACAAATGTGCAAAGTGAAAATTTTAATATTGTGATAATTTCAAAAAGAATCATAAAAGTTTTTAAAATGTACAATTTGAACTTGAAATACTTATCAGCGGGTAATAAAGTGATATTTTATATATAAAACAGTATTTATTTTAAGCTTCCAACATAAATTTTAATAAACTTAAGCAGATCACGTGCTACGAAATATGTTTTCTTCGTTTATTTAACATAATTTTTTTAGAGAAGAGATTATTTTAAAAAGTGTAGCAGATTTTGTAATTTTAAATTTTGATTATTTTTAGTAAATTATTGAAAAATATGTATGATATATATAAAATTTTGATTACAATAGAATGATAAACATATTTTTAAAATTTTATATAAGCACGTTTGAAATAGAAATATAACAAAAAAATATCGTACAAATCTCTTCAAATTCTATTTAGAACTAATTATTTTGTTGGTACGTGCTCTTTTTTTTTTTTTGTTAATAAAAGTAATATTTACTTTACATTTGATATAACATTGATAACATAAAGTTAGTAAACTATCAGAAAATAAATCTTTTAAATTAAATATCAGAAACTATTACACTTGTTGCAACAGAAATTTCTAATTGAAATTGCTTTTAGCGCTCAACATGCGCATTATATTGTTCTGGTGTTTCCTTTGCTTTGTTAATCAATCAATTAAGGGAAATATTTTCCTGGAAATTATGTCATATTGTAAGACCGATTCCAAGTAGAGTCACAATATATGTGGGGATCTAAGACCTAAAACCAACCAATTCAATCTATAAATGAGAAAAATTTTTAAGTGAACTGTATATGGAGTCTACTAGAGTCATTATACTGCAAATTTACATAGTCAATCATCTTAATCTGTCTATATGAATTACGTAGGAAGTATTTAGGTTATTATCTTCCATGCAACTTTAGAGAAAATACTTTGAAA